ACTGGAACTGTGCAGAAAGGCCTCTGAAATTAGTGATTGAGGTCCTTCTGACTAAAATCTGGGTTTTACCTCTTATTCACCCGGTTTTTGAGCAGTTACATTATAGACACTGATGGATTATGGAAGAAGTCGGAGATTCAAGTCCAGACTTTAAAAAATAGCGGGAAAACAATTGTAAATGTCTTAAGAAAAACTAAAAAAAACTTTTCGAGGGTTTTTGAACCAAACTAAAGTATTTTCTAAAGGAATTGCTTTCGTGATAAATAATTAACAGCTCTTGAGCTGCTAATAAACTCGCCTTTCAGCATTGCTCTTCATATAGGCCCCCTGTCTCAAATTTTAGCTAAACTCGAATAGCTGCTTACTTATTTATGCGTTTTTATGTTTTTTTTGCTTGTATGCAAAGGCAAGAACGCATGTTGTAAAGAGGCCATAACATTTGATGTTCAGACTTATTCGGATTGTAAAGTGTGTTCGGATTTAGCAACCGTTGCAACTAGAAAACTGGAAATTCACAAGGATGTTTTGCCTTCCAAACATTTGGAAATTAGCGTTCTCGTTCATCTGGGTCTCAAGTACGAAGGATTAAGAAATTTTATGTGAACTTTTTTGGGAGGATGCAGTTTCAGGAACCAGACAAGATAAGGGGCTGAAATTCCACAAGGATTTTCTGTGTCTTTGTATGATTTAAAGATTTTACAATCAGTTTTAAAATATACCTACGAACTCACAACAGATCTATGACTTCGTCGTCGCCGGCAAAATGCCAAATCGGAAATTAAGCTAAGGTATTTTATGAAAACATTTGCTATCTATACAGGGACTCATGGCCATAACATAAGCTCTGACCTGCTTCTTTGTGACGCATTTGGAGAAGTCAAAGATATTTCTAACTAAAAGCGATTTCTTCAACCAGTTAAGCTAGGAAGCTGAATTTTACGAGAACATCCAATGCTTAATTGCGATCGTAATATTTCAAATTAAGCTCCAGAGCACGCCTGGGTCTCGTGTGCTCACAAGCGAACACTGATTTCTGAACACTGTTAGCATCCAAATAATTTTGCAATCAGAATGAACCAGAAGCAGGCTTTTTTCCGAGGATGTTTACTGTCCACGCCCGAGCCAGCAAAAATGAGCCTCTACATGGGCATTAACGGGTGTACAGGCCCACCGAATGTACAGCTGCAACTCTGCACTCAGACCTTAATAGCACAAGTGATCTCTGTACAGGACGGGATCATGCAAAAACGCATGACTCTACTGACAAGTCTGGTGCGCCGTCACCTAGGCCCTTTTTCTCACAACTCATCAAGTAGTTGAATTTTACACTTTCGCATTGTTTATTGCAGTCTTGCTTATAATAAAACATATTTTCAGGTTTAGTCCCCATTCTTGAAACTTAGTCGTAGCTAGAGTAAATGATACTGTTCTCAGGTTCAGATTAATGACCCGATTCCACCAACAGGAGAGGGGCTGAATTTGCTAACTTTAAGTTGTACAGTGGCTGGGAAAATCGCCTTAAAATTTCAGCTTCCCGGCTTCCCTGACTATCCAAACTAGCGATTTTTGCCCTAGAAAACCTCACGAGGCCGTGTGCGGGAACCAAGCATACTTGGGGGCTGAATTTGAAATCTTTGAGTTCCAGATGCACGGAGGAAATAACCCCGTAATTTCAGCTTCCTAGCTTTTCCGGTTCCCGAATTAACGATTTTCCCACCAAAACCTTCACCCTTTTGTACGCGGAGCCCAGACTTGCGTGAGAGTTGGTGCCGCAGCCCTGAAGTGGCACTTGGCCGGGGAATCCGCAGGCAAAATTTAGGCGCCGGAGATTGCTTGGGTGCCAATTTGAAATTCGCGATCAGACGCGCACACAGACACACAACACATACACACACAGCACATGCACACAATGGATCGTCGCAATATGCGTTTGAAGCTGGATGTATAATTCTCGCACAATAGTCTTAAAAATTGCTGCTAATCACCAAGGAAAAAATTCGGCAAATGAGAAAGAAGCTCAGTGCCTTGGTTGTCACTCACCGCTACATTGCTCTTAGTTCAAAAATTTCATTTATTTTGCAGTTCTGGTGCCGAAAAATGCAAAGATGTAACAACTGATTCGCAGATTTATGTCTAACGAGCTTCTTGATATTACAATTGCTGGAGTAATGCGTTTTGATTTTATCCAGAAACAAATTTTTCGATTTTTTCGGCTCTACATCCTATTCGTTATCCGAGTTCCATGGCTATTTATTCTCATACCAATGTTACTAACAATTTTACTTAGCGCGGGTCTTAGCTATCGGGAACAAGCTTTCCTCAAGGACGATTTAGACCAGTACGTCCCGGTCAATGCGCCAGCAAGGAAAGAATTACAACAGCTTGATCAGCTTTTCCACATCGACGATCTGGATCCATTCTACGCTATGAGGAGGTACATCTTTTGCTCCAATAAATGATCAAATTATGACAAAAGCTGAACACTTCAACATCTCATTTTAGTGCATACTGCAGACAGTAAAAGGCAGTTCAGCACAAATGATCCATGCCCTGCTGCCTTCTCCCCCTCTCTTCTCTCCCAGCCCATTCAAACAGACTGGATAAATTTGGTAATAAGTTTCTCCAGTGAATCCTGTTTCTGAGGTTTACACTGCACTCTTCATTTAAGAGTATGTGCACCGATGTCTCAGTCTGTGTATGGACTTAAACAATAGAACACATACCAAATGCGCAACACGCAGGAGCTCAGGCGCACCTCAGTAAGCATGATCGAAGTGCAGTGAAAATCTAGCATTCGCTTTTTCACACTTAAATTTTTGTTTTATATCTACAGCTTAAATAATAGGACCGCATAGTAAGGTTGCCGATGAGATCAGCCCTTTTACCGCGGTTTTATACAGCAGTGAGTTCGCTAATAGTGTGAGTAGTAGTCGTTCTATGGTTTAATATGTATATATCATGCCGGAACGTTTCTCGCAAGTGGGAGGAAAGATGTCGGTAGTGTTACCTTTGCAATTGTAACTTTCTAGCATGGATTGTTACTGTGAGAGAGGTCACTGAATTTTTTGCATCCTCAATTCTACAGCATTCGCATGCTAGACTTATATAAGTTGATATTACTTTTTTAGCGCCGCGTACAGTACATCAGAAATCTTTCATGCGTTTCTAATTACCAGGAGAGAAGAATGAGTTGAATGTTGCAGTTTGAATACTTTGTATGTCCAACGAGGGCGCATACGCAGCGAAAGTTCATTTTACACATACGTCACACAGCGTGTACTAAATATAGTCTAATAAAAATGCAATTCCCTTCTCACATGATTGCGAAACTGAGTGGGTGCCAATCATGTCCCGGTTTGAAATAGCGGTAAGATTAGACGTGCCTCACAGTTGAATTCAAGAACTTTAGGTCATATATGGACTTAGAATATCATTGCAAAATTTCTGCTTCTTAGCTTCATTGATTAGAGAATTCGCTTCCTTGCACTACTTATAACAGGCGCACCCAAAACACAAAACAAACGTACTCGAAAATACATTTTACGCTTACAGTCGTTACAAGGCAGCAAATATGCCTTGAAGTTATAGCTCTTTCTTCCCCCGTCTTATTTCCGAATTCGTATGAAGCCAACATTGTTTGAAATTTTACAGTGTGTTCATACATGTGATAAAAGCGTAAATGAAACCTTCAAGGCACAAATGGGCAAAGAAATGTTCCGTGAAATTTCAGGCTATTTTGGTACTTAACATCATTTCCTTGCCAAACTTTTTTATGCGCTTTGGCAGTGCAATGCTGTTTCTCTGCTACA